TTTGGGCCCCACAGAGAAGCAAGTGGGCCCCTAGGAGGAAAACCCAGAGGTGGGCACCCAAGCAGGGCCGGCCATGCGGGGTGGGGGCCCGAGCCGAGGGGGATGCCTGGGCGCACCTAGGGTGGGCACCCGCTCCGGCCTGGGCGAGTGTGGGCACGGCGGCCATGAGCAGGCCCAGCTGCACGTCCTGCGTCACCAGCATGCCCAGCAGCACTGCGCCGTAGTCCAGGTCGCCTGTGGGAGCAAGCGCCGTCCACGCCCGCCGCCGCCCACGGACCGGCGTGGACCTGCCCCCAGCGCCCGGGGCTGTTCTCTGGTCAGAGAACAGATGCGTGGCCCGACCCTGCGCAGCCGTCTGTCCAGCCGCACACGTGGGGCCCAGGCTGCAGACCTGGACACAGCAGGCAGGCGCTGTGCTCTGTGTCCAGCCTCAGGGTCTGCCCTGGCCACGTGGTGGTTGCTGGGGCTCCCGTGGAGGGCTCGGCCCCCCTGGGACAAGTGGCCCGGCGGCAGGGCAGCCGTTTTCCCACGGCCGCCAGCACCTGGCGCAGGCCCACGGCTCCTCCGCACAGGGCCTGCCCTGCCACTACGCGGCCTGTGGGGGCCTCTTGTGGGGGGCCGACCAGGGACAGCCCAGGCTGGGCAGGGGCCGCAGTGCCCACAGCCCCCAACCGCAAGCACACCCAGACCCACCTTCCTTGTCAGCCCGGCCACTGCCCGCCAGGAACCTGGACACCAAGGGCGTGCTGGACAGGGACAGGCAGGTGGAGAGGAAGACGGTCTGGGCCGGCCGCAGCTCCAGCAGGCGCCCCCACAGCAGGCCGGAGGCCGTCATGAGCAGCGTCACGTAGCAGGGGCCCTGCAGGGCCACGCGCCACACCTGCGGGCACCGGGCCTGAGCTGCGGCCACGGCGCCCCGCGCCTGCAGACCCTCCCGGCCCACCGCGCAGGCGTCAGCGCAGCATGGGACCTCTGCCCGGGCACGAGCAGGCCACGCGGACAGATCCGTGTCCAGGCTGGCCCCCCCCCTCCGGCGCAGCTGCGAGGGTCTGGGCCGAGACCC